CCCCAAAACCCCAAAACCCCAAAACCCCAAAACCCCTAAATGTGCGATGATGACTGAAAATTAAATAATATATCTTCAACCATGTTTGACCTTATTTGGAGCTTCAACTCCGCTTTGGCTTGGCTCATTGGTATCTACACTTTCGTCCACAGCATGTGTATGATCACCAGGTGTCTCATCAGGAACTTCATCAGGAAGCCTCTGGATCTTACCCAGAGATACGGCAGAGGCTCTTGGGTGGTCATCACAGGTCCGACCGGAGGTATCGGAACAGAGTACTGCAAGCAGCTGGCTAAGCAAGGCTTCAACCTGGTGCTGCTTGGCAGGAACAAGCAGAAGCTCGATGATTTAGAAGCCGAACTTAAGAGAGACCACCCACAGCTGAAGACAAAAATTGTGGTTGCTGACTTTGGAGAGGATATATCACCTGAGTTTTACGAGAAGCTATACAACCAAATGAAAGATTTAGATGTATCAATGCTCATAAACAATGCTGCTTGGCTTAAAATAACTTACTTTGGAGATCTTCCCCCTGCCGAAACTTTATCACGTGCTAAGCTAAATATGGGAGGGCCTGCTCTCCTAATTAGTTTCTTCATCAATGACTTTTTAAAGAGAGCTACTAAAACCGCAATTATCAATATCTCCTCTCTTGGGAGTACATTTCCTTTCCCATACACTGCAGATTATTCGGGATCGAAGAGGTTCTTGTCTCTGTTGTCGTACTACCTGCATGACAACTACGGAGATAAAATTGATGTCCAGGACTTGAACCCTGGAGTGGTAACAACAAAGCTTGGAGAGTATAGAGATGGGCCAGAAGCTATCTCTCCTGAAAGATGTGTTAAGAGTAGTTTGAGAGACCTAGGCCAAGAGTTCTCAACAGTTCCTACAGTTGTTCATAGCTTGAGTGGCCAGTTTGTTCATGTCCTGTACAGATTCTGCAAACCTATTTACAGCAACATGTTCGTGAACGTTGTAGAGAATGCAGTTATGACGAACTTTTATAAAGAGAATCGGGACAAGATTTATGGTATAGAGTAATCTAGTTTCAATCTTGACATCTTGTCAAGGGGTTTTGGGGTTTTGGGGTTTTGGGGTTTTGGGG